CGCCACTACTGCCGCCGCCACCACCCCTACTAGTGCACCACTCACGTAGCTGCTGGGGTGTAAGGGACTCGCGCTGACGCTGCTGGCCACCGCCAGAAGCTCCCCACCGAACAGCTCCACAGCGACTGCTTGGACGGCCGCCACCACCCCAACTGCCTCCACCACCCGCCGTCACCACTCCCACCGCGACGACGAAGAGAAGTCATAGTGGGCAATCTAGGCGGCGCGCGGGGCGGCAGTAGGAGCAGCAGGAACAGCAGTAGTAGTAGCGAAGGGGCGGAGCCGAGGTGGGGCCGAGGGGCCGAGGGGCCACGGGGCCAAACAAGGGGCCGGGGGGGGGGGGCCTAGGGGGGCCGAGGGGCCTAGGGGGCCGAGGGGCCAAACAAGGGGCCGGGGGGCCGGGCGCCGGGCTCTGAGGTGGGGCCGAGGGGCCTAGGGGCCGCGGGGCCAAACAAGGGGCCGGGGGGGCCTTGGGGGGGGCCGAGGGGCCTAGGGGGCCGAGGGGCCAAACAAGGGGCCTAGGGGGCCGAGGTGCCAAGTAGGGGCCGGGGGGCCGGGCGCCAGGCTCTGAGGTGGGGCCGAGGGGCCTAGGGGCCGCGGGGCCAAACAAGGGGCCGGGGGGGCCTTGGGGGGGCCGAGGGGCCTAGGGGGCCGAGGGGCCAAACAAGGGGCCTAGGGGGGCCGAGGGGCCAAGTAGGGGCCGGGGGGCCGGGCTCCAGGTTCTGAGGTGGGGCCGAGAGGCCTAGGGGGCCGAGGGGCCAAACAAGGGGCCTAGGGGGGCCGAGGGGCCAAGTAGGGGCCGGGGGGGCCGGGCACTAGGCTCTGAGGTGGAGCCGAGGGGCCTAGGGGCCGCGGGGCCAAACAAGGGGCCGGGGGGGCCTTGGGGGGGGCCGAGGGGCCTAGGGGGCCGAGGGGCCAAACCAGGGGCCTAGGGGGCCGAGGGGCCAAGTAGGGGCCGGGGGGGCCGGGCTCGAGGCTCTGAAGTGGGGCCGAGGAGCCTAGGGGCCGCGGGGCCAAACAAGGGGCCGGGGGGGCCTTGGGGGGGGGGCCGAGGGGCCTAGGGGGGCCGAGGGGCCAAACAAGGGGCCTAGGGGGCCGAGGGGCCAAGTAGGGGCCGGGCTCCAGGTTCAGAGGTGGGGCCGAGGGGCCTAGGAGCCGCGGGGCCAAGCAAGGGGCCTAGGGGGGGCCGAGGGGCCAAGTAGGGGCCGGGGGGCCGGGCACCAGGCTCTGAGGTGGGGCCGAGGGGCCTAGGGGCCGCGGGGCCAAACAAGGGGCCGGGGGGGCCTTGGGGGGGGCCGAGGGGCCTAGGGGGCCGAGGGGCCTAACCAGGGGCCTAGGGGGCCGATGGGCCAAGTAGGGGCCGGGGGGCCGGGCGCCAGACTCTGAGGTGGGGCCGAGGGGCCTAGGGGCCGCGGGGCCAAACACGGGGCCGGGGGGGCCTTGGGGGGGGGGGCCGAGGGGCGTAGGGGGCCGAGGGGCCAAACCAGGGGCCTAGGGGGCCGAGGGGCCAAGTAGGGGCCGGGGGGGCCGGGCTCCAGGCTCTGAGGTGGGGCCGAGGGGCCTAGGGGCCGCGGGGCCAAACAAGGGGCCGGGGGGGCCTTGAGGGGGCCGAGGGGCCTAGGGGGCCGAGGGGCCAAACAAGGGGCCTAGGGGGGGCCGAGGGGCCAAGTAGGGGCCGGGGGGCCGGGCTCCAGGCTCTGAGGTGGGGCCGAGGAGCCTAGGGGCCGCGGGGCCAAACAAAGGGGGGCCGAGGGGGGCCTTGAGGGGGGGCCGAGGGGCCTAGGGGGCCGAGGGGCCAAGTAGGGGCCAGGGGGGGGGGGGGGGGGGGGCCTAGGGGCCGCGGGGCCAGACAATGGGGCCAGGCGCTGGGCAGGGACTGGGCTGGGCGCTGGGCATTTAAACTGGACCGGGCGCTGGGCGGGTACGGGGCCGGGCGCTGGGCGCGGAATGGGGCCGGGCGCGGGGCTAGGTACGGGACCAGGCGCGGGCTTGGTACGGGCCGGGCGACGGGCTATGTACGGCCCGGACGCAGGCAGGAGACGAGGCCGGGCGCGGGCTAGGTACTGGCCGGACGCGGGCAGGAGACGAGGCCGAGCGCGGGCGTCGAAGTTTAAGGGGCCAGTGGGGCCGAGGTGACGGGCTAGGTACGGGCCGGGCGACGGGCTAGGTACGGGTCGGACGACGGGCTAGGTACTGGCCGGGCGACGGGCTAGGTACTGGCCGGGCGCGGGCGTCAAAGTCGACGGGGCCAGCGGGGCCGAGGTGACGGGCTACGTACGGGCCGGGCTACGGGCTAGGTACGGGCCGGGCAACGCGCTAGGTACGGGTCGGGCGCGGGCGACGAAGACGACGGGGCCAGCGGGGCCGAGGCGACGGGCTACGTACGGGCCTGGCGACGAGCTAGGTACGGGCCGGGCGCGGGCGACGAAGTCGACGGGGCCAGCGGGGCCGAGGCGACTAGCTAGGTACTGGCCGGGCGACGGGTTAGGTACGGGCCGGGCGCAGGCGACGAAATCGTCGGGCTAGGTACGGGCAGTGCAGTAGGTGGTGGGCCCATTGAGACTAGGTCCTAAGACTTAGTTGCTCTTAATACCATGTTAGAATCTTAGGTGAGAATGATTTACTAGGAAGTGACGAGGGGTACAAGTAGAATGTCGAGAGAAAACTGTACCCCCTAAGGCTAAACCCACTATAGCCTAGACAACTGTAAACACATAAACTAAGCCTAGATATAACTAAGCATATATGTTTGACACGACGACCCTGCGGAATTCTAGAAATGGTTAATCCCCATCCTCATGTACTCGGGATTTCTGCGATACTCCGACCTAGTGGCCATAAAGTGGCAAGACATTCAATTCGACGAAGAGGTCATGTGGATCCTCATACCACACTCCAAGACTGATCAGGCCGGTCATGGCACATGGATTCCCATTGCAGCAACAGCGGACCCCTGTTGCCCAGTGCGCTGTACCCGACGCTTAATCAAACTCGCTGGCCATGCTTCAACTAGCAAAGGTTTGGCGAGGCCAGCTTCATAGACTACAATCCGCAACTGGTGCAAGGAAGCCTTCGCAAAGGTTGGCCTTGGCGAGTTGCAGCTCGGCACTCACTCTTTCCGAAAAGGCGCAGCTACAGTAGCAGCCAACACTGGAGTGCCAGACAGAGTCTTCAAACGGCTGGGCATATGGCGAAGCGACACAGCAAAGGAAATGCATGTCACGCCACACATCGAGCCTCTCATCAAAGCCTCCCGCAACCTACAAGATCCGACGCATGCGGTGACTTCGGCACAACACACAGAGGCACTCGTACGTAACCGGAGGCCCCCGCTGCCTATGTCTCAGAGACCCCATTTGTAATGAGAACGATGCCAATTGATAAGAATAAGAAAGCAAGCTTTCTCAATATTATAATTTTTAAACACACATAGTGTTTTTCAAAATTGTGTATTGTGAAAGCGAAGCTGCTTGTATTGCACAATTGGCATCGTCGGAGCGCGCTAAATGCCCTTCTCCAACTACAAAAACCGTGGGTTGGAGCTCATTTCCCTCCACCCACGTTTCTCTATTTTCAAACGGCTCACTCAACCTTCCCACCACCCACCCCAGCGTAAACCGTTTTGCGCATGCCACTTGGATAGGGTATATCATAGCTAGTGATATGAGCATGCACTAGCTTGTGTTCAATTGTGATGCAAATGTTGTCAACAGCCCATTTGTAATGATAACGATGCCAATTGATAAGAATAAGAAAGCAAGCTTTCTCAATATGCTATATACAGCTCTGCACATTGAGATTTTTTTTTCCCCGCACAGATGCTTACCACGACGACATGATTCCATCCATATCTGGGCTGCATGCTACTACTGTACCTGTCTCCTGTGTAACTGTGTCCTGTGTCCACCTCTGTTTTTTTTTTTTTTTTTTTTTTTTTTTTTGGGCTTTTGGGTGAACCGAGGAGGAAATCAGGCCCCCTTTCCCACGCCGGTCTGCTGAGGTGTCCACCTCTGTAACTGCCTGTTCTGCCTCCTCGAGCCGCCTCTTGTACCTGCCTCTTGTAACTGCCTCCTGTAACTGCCTTCTGTAACTGCCTCCTGTAACTGCCTTCCGTGTCTGCCTCCTGTAACCGCCTTCCGTAACTACCTTCTGTAACTGCCTCCTCTAACTGCTTCCTGTAACTGCCTCCTGTAACCTCCTCCTGCAAATGCCGTCTGTAACTGTCTTCTGTAACTGCCTTCTGTAACTGCCTCTTGTAACCGCCTTCTGTAACTCCCCCATTCTTCGTCCTTCCCAATACACATCGCCTCCACATAAGCCTTTGCCCTCCTCTACCATTCTCACTCTTCTATCCAACACCCAAACCCAACAGACCCATTTGCATCCATGTCTGCACCAGCCCAGTTGGAAAAGCCAGAGTCGCTTTTGAGATTTCTCAATAGCAACCCAACATTCCCACATGCATCCTCAATTCATGTCTGCATCAGCTCTCGACCCTGTCAGCCCATGGTTATTCTTCGGCCCCACCCTGATCCTTCCCCACTCTTTCCCTGCTTCTTCCTCTTCTTATTCCCCCCATCCTCCCACCCCTGACACCCCAGTCTCGATCCTGTCAGCCCATGGGTATTCTTGTCCCCCACCCCTCTACCCTGCTCCTCCCCCCACCCTCCTTCCCTGCTTCCGCCTCTTCCTCTTCCCCTCGTCCTCCCACCCTCCACACTTCAATTTCGACCCACTCAGCCCAAAAATGTCCACATGTGCATCGAGCTGCGCCAATCGCAGCTGGACACGTGGCAGGCGGGTGCACGGCAGGCAGAGGAGGAACCACATGTTCCTCTCTGCATGTGGATTTGATACAAGCAACTTCTTACCAGGAGTACATGCTCCCAAATTCTTCCTTTTCGCAGAGGAAGCGTTGGGAAACGGAGCGTTGGGAGAGGGAGCGTTGGGAGAAGGGATGTTGGGAGGAGAAGATTGGGAAGGCAGTTTGGCGTGGCGGGCTATGAACTCGCCCTTGCATCCGCAGCTCCTGCAGGCATGGCGGAAGAAGAGAGAGCGCCACTGGGGTGAAGGGGGGGAGTGGGGATGTGGGAAGGGGGAGAGAGGAGAAGAAGGGAGGGACAGGGGCAGAGGAGGTAACCAAGGGGCAGAAAGGGAGGCAGTTTGGCGTGCCGGGCTATGAACTCGCCCTTGCCTCCGCAGCTCCTGCAGGCATGGCGGAAGAAGAGGGAGCGCCACTGGGGGAAGGGGGGGAAGGAGAGGGGAGACGGGGAGAAGGGAGAACCGAGAAGTCAGCGTTGGGAAGGTGAGAAGGGAGGAAGCAGTTTGGCGTGCCGGGCTATAAACTCGCCCTTGCCTCCTGCAGGCATGGCGGAAGAAGAGAGAGCGCCACTGGGGGAAAGGGGGGGGAAGGGGGGGGAAGGGGGGAAGGGGCGGATGAGAAGACAATGGGTGGAGCATGCATAGGGGAACAGGGAACAATGAGTCTGCCCCAATACCACCGCAGGACCTGCAGGCATGGAGGAAAAAGAGCGAGCGCCACTGGGAGAGGGGGGAGCAAGGGGGGAGAGCGGGGGGGAGTGTGAGAGAGATTGGGGAAGTGAGCGGAGAGGGGACAACAGGGCGGAAAACCCAGGAGGAGTCAGGGGGGCGGGGAAGGGACGAGCTCTCATGCTGAAGATTTTACAGCAGGGTAAGCGAGAAATGGTAGGGTTACCAGAAAAAAACAAAGAGAATTACGGGGAAGTGGGGATGAGAGAGGGTGGAAGTGAGGATGTGAGTGAGGGAGTGAGGGAGAGCTCACAGGTCGGAAGGAGGAGAGCTCTGTCTGCCCTCGAGGTCGTCTCGGTGGTTTCCACCCTTTCCTCTCGCACTCCCTATGAAACAGATGCTCGCTCGCATGCGACCAGAACCGACACACCTGGGGGGATAGGGGGACAAGAAAGGACAAGGAAAGAGAATGGGAAAGGCACCTTCACATCCTTACCTCTAAGGAATTAACACGCTCGTTCGCTCATCGGCTGTTTTGCTTTATTCCTTCTCGCTCTCATCTTTCCCTCGCGCTCGCTCTACATTTCCTTCTCGCTAGCTCCACCCTTCGTTTATAGAAGCACCGGGGACGAAAAGGGTGAGAGCGAGAAGGGCAGAAGGGATGTAAAGCGTTTAACTTGGCAGGTGACGCGATCGCGAATTAGGGTTACCACCTTGACGGGCCTCGCTGACGAAAGAGGGTACCTGCGACGCGGCGAGGATAGTTTTAAACGGCAGTTTCGCGAAGATCGCGGACAGAAGATCGATGTCGCGACGCTCAGTCAACTCGTGGAGCACGTGCGGGGGATCCTGAGGTTCCGCCATCTGCGGCGATTGCTGATCGTTACTGCACGCGATTAGTCGCACTTACGACAACAGTCTAGGGAGCCATGGGGAAGCGTATACGAGACGACTTGAAAACCACAAATACAGACAAGACACCAGAAAAATGAAAAGGCGGTGTTCGCCAGCACCTTTGAAAGCAAAAACGACGGGCTCAGGAAGGTCATTCACGCCTTCCTGATCCCGTCAGTTAGGCTTAGTTAAGCTCCGTCAGCCTGGTCAGCCCGTAAAAATGCTGCCGAGCCTCTCATGCCGTCCGAACCAAATACAAAATTGAGGGCCTGGCGAACGCCCCCAAACTTCATTTCGACCGGCATGACGGCATATGTAAATGGGGACGCAATTTCGTCCCAGGGCAAATATCCCTCCCCAAGCCATTCCATCACCATTCCCCCTTTCACGGAGGACAGCGATGGCATACAGATGGCATTGCCGTTCAGAGGGGAATCTCTGATCGAGCCAAATGTTTGACGAATGGGGGTTCGTTTACCCCCCATTTTTCCCCTCCCGAATGCACGTGACTGGTTCTCAGAACGAGGTGGCGGGGATTGTATTTCAGCAGGGTTAGTCCAGTAGTATTTGGCCCCCGGTCAGGCAGTGGTCAGTGACGCAAACATTTCGTACCAGTAGGGGGGAAGGTGGGGATGGAGGTTCCAGATGCGGTTGCGTCATTTCCCGTTTCGGGACCCGAAGTCTCGCGCGTGGCATCACGCCCAAACCTATTCGGTGGGTTCCGGCCCCGGTTCCTGATGCGGTTGCCATCCCGACGCCGTCATTTTTCTTTCAATTTTCGTGTGCTGGCGAACACCACCGATGTGACACTCAAGGGATGACACACGAATTAATTATGCGGTTTCGTAAAACGATGTGCGTTTTAGAATGTTTGGTTGCTCTTACAGACGTTCGTGTACGGTATTGAGCGTTTTGAAAGCTCTGGAAGTTCCAGAAGTTCGTGTACGGTATTGAGCGTTCTTACGCGTTATAATTAAATATTGGACGCTGTCCTAGAAGTTCCATGCAAAAAGAGGGGAGGTACTGGGATATATACGTAAAATCACACCTAACACATACCACGTCACATCGTCTGAAACTTCAGCACACATTATATATGTGCAGACTGTCATCCTACCTGAAGATTATAGAAGCTTTAACAGCTGCACCTTTTTTAGGGGCCAAATAAATGCTGGAACCTCAGAATCAATCAAATGATGCAAGCATTGTTCGTCAGATTGGTACAACCTCTTGCATTAAATCCAAGGGCACAAGCTCCTTCCACTTCTCAACGAATTCCATCCGATTTCCCTCCTTGAGCGGCCTTGGAGAAACAAATACTACCTTGTTCACATCCCCAGGCACAGTCGATTCAAACATCTGCCCGACAGGAAAAGAATTCCTCAGCTGCCCGAGGAAAGATTGATATGCAGAAGCTGCCCAAGGAACAACATTTATAGCAAGAAGCCCATCCGGTCGTATTACTGTAGCAAGTGAGCGGAGAAAACGAGGTGTAGTGAACTCTTGGGGGGGTGCGTTGAGACCAGAGCGAGGGTCCCAAGAGTCTATATCGAGGATAACTACATGGAATTCGAAAGGGGATGGTGTAGAAGGTGCGAAGTTGGAAACACTTGGGGAATGCTGCTGCTGGTGATGCTGCTGCTTGACCTGCTCTACCTCTTGCTTCTCCAGTCCCTCTTGCCCAATCTTCTCCTCGCATCTTGCCAAACGCAACTTGGGTCGCTTCGATTCAAATCCTGCTGCTCTTTGGATCCGGGCTGCCAGTCTCACTACATATTGCCTAGCATCCCCAATATGCACACGAATGCCACCCTTCATCCCTCTCCTTCTATTCCTCCAAGCGCCCTTCTCCCTTTCCCTCTTGCCACCATTCTCTCTCCCCTTGCTTACCTCCCTCCCCTTTCGCATCTGCCTCTCTTCCCTCCTCCTCGCACGCTCCTCCCTCCATTTAAGTCGCATTCCTCCATGCCCAACGCCTGATGAGGCCATGCTCGCATCAGACCTGCCTTTCCTCTCTTCTGACCCATCCAACGCCCGGCTCTTTGGGCTCGCTAGCCGGGGATTGGATGGCCTCCACACCTTCCTCTCTTTTTCTGAGTCATCCAGCCCCCGGCTCGCGAGCCCAAAGAGCCTCTGTGCCACGAGGTGCATGAGAGCATCGATTTCCACCACCTGATGGGGTGGAGGGGTGAGAGTGAGGAGGGGGGGATGAGGAGTGGGGAGTGCGGAGTGAGGAGCGAGGAGGGGGAACGGGTTTGATCCCAGTAGACTCTGTGTCATGTGGCAACCCGGGTTTCATGAAAGTATCGATCTCCAAAACCCGGCGGGTGGAAGAGTGAGAGAGAGAGCCATAATGAGAGAAGAAAGGGCTGAAAGAGAGGAGAGCGCACGAGAAGGAGAGAGAATGAGGAATATGAGGAGGAAAGAGTTACCGTCTTTCTATACACCGTGTAAGGCCAGGTTGATGTGCAATACACCCGATCTACTCGACTTGCCTGAATGTGATAGTCCGGTCGGTGCGCGTTCAGGTACATGGGCAGAGTGAACGCCCCTCCTCCCAACACCAGCACTCGCACTCCCTCTCTCCTCCCCCCCTCCCCTGTGTCTCTCTCTAAGGCCGGCTGGTCTCTCCCCTCCAAAGCAGGGGCGGCGAGAGGGAACCCGGCGAGGATAGGGGGAACGTACTTGTGGGTGAGATGTGAGTAGTCTGGCTCCAGGTGGTGACAGGGAGGAGAGACGGGGGGAGGATTAGCCTCAGTCGAGCCTCCCTTTAAAAGCAGCTGCTCGCTCTCCTCCAAAGCAGAGGCGGCGAGTGGGAACTTGTGGGTGAGGATAGGGGGAAGGTACTTGTGGGTGAGATGTGAATAGTCGAGCTCCAGGTGGTGATTAAGATGGGGGGGAATGGGAGGAGGAGGATGACGAGGACGAGTGGTACAGGATGTGACTATAGAGGGAGGGACTTGTGTTTTTTGAGGTGTATCAGGGGTAGCCCATCTTGTGACTATACGGAGCGGGACTTCTGATTGGATAAGGTTGGGGAGGCGACGGAATCGCAGCCGGCGGCGTAACACCACAGGGATCATGGAGTTCGCAGCGACGCGGTTACTGCCTCCAATAGGGTTACCACCACCATCCGCTGCCAATGCTACATCCTCCACTAACAACGGTCCAGTGAGTCCAGTAAAAGGGTCACCACCACCAGTAGGGTTACCAGCACCAGTTAAGTAACCACGAACATCCGCTGCCAGTGCTACATCCTCCACAAGCAATGGTCCAGTGAGCCTAGAGCGCGCCACCAGACGAACCTTCCTAGCAATTACATCGTCCTGGAAAACGAGCCATGGGATGAGGGAAGGCGAGGAGGTGGGTGGTGCGTGTGAATGAAGCGAGAGTGGTGGGTGTGACTTAAATGAAAGTGGTGGTGTGTGTGAGCGAATGGGGAGAGCTGGAAGAAAGGAGGAGGGGGCACGAGAGTGTGATTGGGGGGAAGCAGCAGAGTGGGGTCGATCAGACGCATGGGATTGGGCGGAAGGGAAGAGGCTTTGAGGGGCAAGCGCTGTGAGGAGAGAGGCCAATGCAGCCTTGATCGCACCATCACTATTGCAGTTCTCATGCCCATCACCATGCCTATCACCATGCCTATCACCATCACCAGTGCTGTCACTGCCACCACACCGCCTCATGAACAGCAAAGGCTCTTCTGGCGAGTCAGTAATTGAAGAAGAATCAGCATTTGCCTGTGGATCCGTACTGACTCTTTTGGCTCGGCATTCCCAAGGGATGTCGTCACTGTTACTGTTGCAGTTACTGTTGCTGTTCCTGCCGTCCCGTGCCTTGCCCTCACATACTGCCAAAAGCTCCCACTTTCTGCCGCCCTGGCCAATCCAGCCCGAATCAGATCTCCACCACAGTCTGCAGATGCTACCGTTACTGCCAGTGGTAACTCCACCAGAAACCTGATCTGATTCGATTCTAGAGCTACTAGACTTCCGGCGCTTCACACGAGTTTCCCTGTCTCTCCCAACCGTCCCTTCCCTTTCCCTCCTTACGCCGTGTGCTGTCAGCACGCTGCTGCCCTTTCCGAAGCAAGGACGGAGAAGCTTCCGTCGAAGGCATCGCAAAAGGAAGGGCCGGAATCGAGACCCGGCAGCCATGGCAGCTGCAGAAGACATGGGCTGTTTGTGTTGAGATTGCATGAACATAGGAACTGACGCCCTGGAGGCGGCGCGAGCCGAGCTGACCGCGCGGTTCCGCCGTGTGATAATAACGAGTCTTCTCGTATTGGCACTCCGGAGCAGCTGCCACTGCCCGCCTGCTGACGTGTACACCCAATCTCTCTCCCTGCCACGTGGCACGAGCATGGCTGCGTGCAGGTGAGTATACCGAGGTGGATTCGTGTCGCCTTCGTTTGAATTACCTTCGCCTTCGGGCGCATCCAAAACGGTGACTGTAACGAGCGTTTCCTCGTCTGACCCACCCCGACCTTCTAACGGGTACAAGAACACTTTCCGCCTTCCCGGATGGAAACCCTCGAATTCGTCCTCTTGGCTCCCTCCCGCTACAATCACATCCGTTTCCATCACAGCAGTACACGCACTCGAATCCAGGAGTGCGCACTCGCACAAGTTTTCCAGTCCTTTCGCCGCTGGGCGCCTTGCTACTGTACCCGCTTCAACACGTCTCAAAACGCAATCGCATTCAGATTCCAATGTCAGATGTTTTGTAGAAGAAAGAAAGAAAGAAGAAATCGTAACAATGGGAAACTAAATTCCTAGACTCCTAGTTTCCTAGCGTAATAGTGACGCTATTGGGGATTCCGCGCAGCGCCATAGGCGGTTTGCTTTCTGACTGATGTGTGGTGAAGGCGGTTTGCTTTCCTGGGAGTGCAGTGCTGACTGATGTCGGTTTACTCGATACAAGCTCATCTCATCCGTCGGTACTGCTTCCGATAATCAGAAGATCTTTCTTTTCCGTTTCACACATGCGGCTCAATTGGTTCTTCACGATTTCAATCGGTTCAAATACTTACCGCTGTGATGCGTACATCTGAACCCAATTCTCTCCCACATCAACATGATTCTAGTTGATATCCTGTAACACACAAATACAATCGTATAACATTAAATGAGGTGAATTGACAGGCTCTTGTAACTTTTATCGAGGCACTCTCTGCTCGCACTTCCAGTGAACAACCTTTTCCAGCCATCCACCGACTTCACTGATAGTTTATCAAGCTTCTATTCTGGTCACCAGCACTCATATTAGGTGTTCATCATCTTATCGAATTTCCCAATGTCAGAATGATTGTCGTTGTCCTCGCTCGGCGGAGTTAGTAAAATCGTTTGATATCGTCGTCGTCACTAGGCGTTTCGTCAGCAGACGTCAACGTCGCCAGGCGAATCAGTAACAATCGCTCAGCGTGCTCGTCGATGGTGCTGCTGCTGCGATGGACGACGGCGGCGCCGCGAAATCTTACCGTCCGTCCACGTCAGCACCGCGAAGCCGCCACGTCACCTTCTGGCTTATCCAAGCCATATTGGGAATCGCATTAGTCGCCTGGGTCTCTCGATCGCTCCTCTCCTCCTCCCTCCTCTCATTCTCCTGCGATCTCTCGGTGAGCATCTGGCGTATTTTCCATTCCTATCCCTCTTCTCCCTGCTCTCCTCCCCTCCTCCTCCCTTCTCTCCTTCTGCGAACTCTCAGTAAGAGTCTGGCGTATTTTGCATTCCCGTTTCCATTCTCTGTCGCTCTGGGTGCCAGGGTCTCTCGATTCCTTCTTTCCTACTCCATCCTCTCATTCTCCTGTGACCTGTGGGTGAGAGTCTGACGTTTTTTTCCATTTCCATACCTCTCCTCCTCTCCTCCTTCATCGGCGAGTTACCCCTCCACCCCCCCCCCCCCCCCCCCCCCCCCTCTCCCCCCTCCCCCCCTCTCTTTTCACCACCCTCTCCTTTTCTCCCCTCTCTCCTTTTCCTCCCCTCTTTTTCGCAACCTCCTCTCCTGTTCACCCCTCACTGCTCTTCACATCCGCACCACCATCAGGATCATATCAATGCCACCCTATAAGCCCAGGTACCTTCTTTTGAGGAAACTCAAAACTCCTTGTCCCTTTCTCCCCCTCCCTTTCCACCCCTCACTCCTCGTCACCCCTCTTCCGCACCACCATCAGGATCACATCAATGCCACCCTATCAGACCAGGTACCTCCTTCTGAGGCGACCTAAAACTCAACCCTCCCCTTTCTGCCCCTCCCTTGTCACCCCTCTTCCACACCACCATCAGGACCACATCAATGCCACCCTATCAGCCCAGGTTCTTTCTTTTGAGGCAACTCAAAACTCCGCTTACCCTCTCTCCCTCACTCCTCTTCACCCCTCTCCCATTCACCCCTCCTTCTCACCACCATCAGGATCATATCAATGCCACCCTATCAGCCCAGGTACCTCCTCTCCTCTCCCAACCCTGCCTCCCTCTCGTGTTTCATTCCTTGCAAGACCAGAACATTTCTTCTTGAAATAGAGTTTTCTAATACACATCTTGGTCGTTTCTCCACCTCCCACCTCCAACCCCACCCATCTCGTCATCCTTTCGTTGCCAGCTCAAATCTCTCGTCATTTGCGTGGTTTGTTTTTGTGTTTTTTTTTTTTAGGAGTTAAAGCTCCATAATACCTTTCTGTGACTGACTCGTGTGTGTGACTTCATGGCATGGTATGGTACATCATGGCATGGTATGGTACATCATGGCATGGTATGGTACATCATGGCATGGTATGGTGTACATCGTGGCATGGTATGGTGTACATCGTGGCATGGTATGGCACATCATGGTACAATATGAATGGATGCGGTGCTTGTTGTGGCAGCAAGAGCACAACAAGGAGGCAGCTGAAGCACTGGAGAAAGCCATACGAGCCCTCATGGTAAGACCATGGCTTCACGATATGAGCCATTTCGAGTTGACTCCGAAACCAGTTATGGCAGATATAGCACGTCTTGCTTGCTCTGGCAGCAAGAGCACAATGACGAGGCAGCTGAAGCACTGGAGAGAGCCACACGAGCCCTCATGGTAAGGTGGTGGAGAGCGATCATATACCCTGTAGTTAATTACTGTTGCAGCATTATAATTTCTCTTTTAAGTATATGTTATAAACATGTACACCTTGTTGTAAGAGCGACGGTTATCAGGGTCTTCGATCACCTCACCTCCATCCATAGCCCAGCTTTCACCTTCCTTCCTCCATCCTTATTCTCTCCTCCGTGCTGCTTTCGTGCATCAGCTGCTCCCCCCTCCATCAATTCTCTTCCTCTCATCTCTCCTAAAACTTCTGCTGCTCCTCTCCCATTTTTCTCCTCCTCTCCTCTGTTTCCCATTACATGCAGGTGGACAAGCCTCTGCCATCCCTAGCAGACGCTGCTGTCCGTGCTGCTTTCGACTGTTGAGACGTCCCAAGCCTTTCTCTCCTCTCATTCCCCTCGCTTGCATGCATGCAGGTGGACAAGCCTCTGCAATCCCTAACAGACGCTGCTGTTCGTGCTGCCTTCGTGCATCTGCTGCTCCCCGCTCCCTCCAACCTCTCCTCCTCGTCCCCCTCCTTCTCCCTCTCCTCCTCCAATGATTCACCGCCTCCTCTTTCCAACTCTCAAGCACCCAGTGCTTCCGCCACTGCTATCGATCGCACTGACCCGACTGATGCTATTGGCCACACTGATGCTTCGTCTCTTGCAAAGAGTGTCTCTGCTTCTGAGGATAGATTGTCCCTTGGATCTTCTGAGGACGAGCATGCGGGGTGTGAAAACTTCTGTGCTACCTGCATTCGCCCCCTCAACTGTTCCCTCATGCCCTCCCTCCCCTGCTTCTGCTGCCGTCGCCCCGACACCCCTGCCAATGTTGCTGACTTGGATGGGGAATTGGAGGATGATGGTGATGGTGGTGGTGATAGTGGGGGAGGTGTGACTAAAACGGGAGCTCAGGGTGTGTCAGAATCATGTGAAAAGAGGGAAGAGGGAGTAGGGGGAGGGGGAGGAGCGGAGGAGGAGGGAGGCGGAAACGAGGGGAGGAAACCAGCTTGCGCTGATGGCATGGCGAAGGGACGATGGGTGAATTACACGTGGTGGGAGGCGGATGATTGTGAGTACAGGTGAGAAAAGCGGACTGACATGAACCCTCCCCTCTCCTCTCCTCTCCTCTCCTCTCCTCTCCTCTCCTCTCCTCTCCTCTCCTCTCCTCTCCTCTCCCCTCCCCTCCCCTCCCCTCCCCTCCCCTCCCCTCCCCTCCCCTCCCCTCCCCTCCCCTCCCCTCCCCTCCCCTCCCCTCCCCTCCCCTCCCCTCTCCTCTCCTCTCCTCTCCTCTCCTCTCCTCTCCTCTCCTCTCCTCTCCTCTCCTCTCCTCTCCTCACCTCTCCTCTCCTCTCCTCACCTCTCCTCTCCTCTCCTCTTCTCTTCTCACCTCTCCTCTCCTCTCCTCACCTCACCTCTCCTCTCCTCTCCTCTCCTCTCCTCTCCTCTCCTCTCCTCTTCTCTTCTCTTCTCACCTCTCCTCTCCTCTCCTCACCTCTCCTCTCCTCTCCTCTCCTCTCCTCTCTTCTCCTCTCCTCTCCTCTCCTCTCCTCTCCTCACCTCTCCTCACCTCTCCTCTCCTCTCCTCTCCTCTTCTCTTCTCTTCTCACCTCTCCTCTCCTCTCCTCACCTCTCCTCTCCTCTCCTCTCCTCTCCACCTTTGATCGATCTCCTATGCCTGTCCGCTCTCCTAATCTCCCCACCCTCCTCGCCCCTATCAGCGTCAAGGGCCAGTGGACCCACCTCTTTGGCGACTAGACCACTCGAACCCTGTCCACCTTCTCTGCTCTCACGTCCGATTCCCTCCTCTCCCCACACTCCCCCACACTCCACTACACAGTGACTTCTCAGCCAAGACCACACGTGAAGAGATGTTCGAGTGCCGCAAGGGCCAGTGGACCCTCCTCTTTTGCGACCAGACCACTCGAACCCTTTCCGTTGAAGCAAGCTGGGGGCTTAAAATGAACCGAGGGGTTAAAATGAACCGAGGGGTTAAAATGAACCGAGGGGTTAAAATGAACCGAGGGGTTAAAATGAACCGAGGGGCTGAAATGAACTGAGGGGTTAAAATGAACCGAGGGGCTGAAATGAACCGAGGGGTTAAAATGAACCGAGGGGCTGAAATCCTTACCCTGTCCACCCCTCTCTCCACCCTTCTCCCCTCCCCTCTCTCCCCCATCAGTGACTTCTCTGGTCGGGACTTACACCAGTGTCTCAAGGGCCAGTGGATCCACTTTTTCGGTGACCAGACCTCTCGAACTCCCTCCACCTTTCATCAATTCCCTGTGCCCGTCTGCTCTCCCACTCCCCTGTGCTCTCCTCCTACCCCCTGCTCTCCCACCCTTCCGCCCCTCTTCCCCATCAGTGACTTCTCTGGTCGGGACCTACACGAGTGCCTCAAGGGCCAGTGGATCCATTTCTTCGGCGTCCAGACCTCTCGAACAAAGGGGCTGAATTCCACTCTCCCTCTCCACCCCACTCCACCCTTCTCCCGTCCCTCTTCCCCATCAGTGACTTCTCTGGTCGGGACCTACACGAGTGCCTCAAGGGCCAGTGGATCCACTTTTTCGGCGACCAGACCTCTCGAACCCTTTCCACCTTCTTTGCCAAAAAGATGCGAATCAAGAAGGTTGGCATCAAACCGCCAGAGGGGCTGAAGCCCCCCTCCCCACCTTCCTCCTCCTCTCTTTCACCATCCTCCTCCTCCGCCTCCTCCTCCTCCTCCTCCTCCTCCTCCTCCTCCTCCTCCTCCTCCTCCTCCTCCTCCTCCTCCTCCTCCTCCTCCTCTTCCTCCTCCTCTGCTTCCTCCTCCTCTCCCACTCCCACTGTGGAGGGAGGTAGAGCTCGAACTGAAAAGGATGAGCGAAGCTCTAGTAACAGAAGAAGGCTTGCTTATAACGAGGACAATACTGCCAGTGAAGGCGCAAGCAGCAGCACCAGCAGCAGCGGCGGCAGTAGTAATAGAAGCAATAGCAGCAACTCTACTGAAGGCTCTTCTAGTGACAATGTTGATAGTGACAGTATTGAGGGCGCTAGCACCACAACTGATGACAGTAACGAGGGAGCTAGTAACGAGGATGATGAGAGAGCAACAGGGGGAGCGAGGGGATGGCAGCCCGTCCCAAGGAGTGCTGATCGCCCAACCGTCTCGTACCTCTTCCGAGCGAAGATGGCCCACCAACGCGCGCCAGCTGTGAGTGGTGGTGGTGGTCTGGTGCTGTGTGGTGCTGTGTGGTGCTGTGTGATGGAATGGCATGCTGCTTGAGCTACGGTGCTGTGTTGAGCTCATCAACCCCCCACTGTGTCGTACCTCTTCCGAGCAAAGATAGCCCACCAACGCGCGCCAGCTGTGAGTGATGGAGGTGGTGTGCGGTGCTGTGTGGTGCTGTGTGATGGAACATTGGGAGCTGGCCCCACCGTCTCATAACTCTTCCGAGCAAAGTTGGCCATCATACCAACGCGCCCCAGCTGTGAGTGATGGAGGTGGTATTCATGGTATTGTTGGTATTAAAGGTATTAAAGGTATTAAAGGTATTGATTCTGATCGTGCTGCTGCTGCTGCTGGTCAGATTTTGCCGATGCTGCCAGGACCATTTAGCGTACCGATTTCGCCTCTCTCTTGCTCGTCCTTTGAGGCACCTCAAAAGTCCATGCTTTGCTCCTCTCTCCAACCATCCTCCATTTCAACGTCCCCCTTTTCACCCTGCCCCCCATCTCCCACACCCACCATGCAGGGGACCAACCAGAAGGAGATGTGAACGGTTTCTTTTCGATGCTCTACAGGACCCATTCGCATACTGACCTCGCCCCTTTCTTTCTTCCCTTCCCCCGTTTCTCTCCCCCCCCCCTCCCCGCTCCCCCCTCCACACCCCTTTTCCTTCCCGTTCCCCCACTCACAATCACCCACCAGCCAGGGGACCAACCAGAAGACGACGTGAACGATTTCTTTTTCGATGCTCTACAGGACCCTTTAGCGGATCGACCGGATGTACTTATAATGAGTATGGGCGCGCACGAGGTGTTTGGGTGGTCCGGGCGGCCGCGCGTGAAGCTAAACCTGACTGTCTATAAGGAGGATACGGAGGAGCTGCTGGGGAAGGTGTTGGGAAGCTTCCCGGAGCAGAAGGTGATATGGTGGAAGGCGCATTACATTCAACAAGGTGAGCAGTTGGTTGGAATGACGGTTCTTTAGGCACCTCTTCAACAAGGTGAGCAGTTGGTTGGAATGACGGTTCTTTAGGCACCTCTTCAACAAGGTGAGCAGTTGGTTGGAATGACGGTTCTTTAGGCACCTCTTCAACAAGGTGAGCAGTTGGTTGGAATGACGGTTCTTTAGGCACCTCTTCAACATCCGGCGATACCAGAGCCGCTACCAGCATCATTCTGCATCCCGCTTTACTACTACCATCCCATATTCCACCTCCCTCTTCCACCCCTCCCTTCCCCTCCCTTCGCCCCACGTCCTCTACCCCTCCCCATCCATAGGCAAGATGAGAGAGAGCAGTTGTTCAACATCCGCTGATACCATGGCCGCTACCACCAACGCCACGCTGCTGCCCGCTTTGCTGCCTTGTACTCATTCCTCCCCGCTCTTCCCCCCCACCTTCCATCCCACCTTCACCTCTCTGCGTTGTGAATGCAGGCAAGAACAGAGAGCGCAGTTGTTCAACATTCGGCGATACCACAGCCGCTACCAGCGTCACCCTGCCACCCGCTTTGCTGCTCACCTCTTACTATCAATCTATCCATTCCGCTTTTCCCCTCCCTCTACAGGCAAGATCAAGGGAGAGCAGTTGTTCACGATCCGGCAATGGCAATTTTTGAGGTGCCTCAAAAGGGAGAGCAGCTGTTCACGATCCGGCAATGGCACAGCCACTACCAGCACCACTCTGCCAGTCCCTTCCCTTATCCCCGACCTTTCCTCTCACCTCTACCCCACCCCTCCCCATCCACAGGCAAGATCAAGGGAGAGCAGTTGTTCAACATTCGCCGATACCACAGCCGCTACCAGCGCCACGCCGCCTCCCGCTTTGCTGCTAACGGCCACTCGATCGCGGATTTTTATTCAACCACTAGGAGGAGGAGCGAGGCTTGTAGAGGGGATGGGGTGAATTACGACTCGGAAGTGGTTTGGCAACATGTGAAGATTGTTGCGCATATGCTCTGTTACAAACACGCTAACAAAAGATAAGCATGCAATGGATCACAATCATGTTTGTGTTACCATCGATCTCTACTACAACAAATCACTACAGCAAAGAGTTTGGAACAGGGAACCATGATGGGGCCCGGCCCGGCAAGGCAAGGCCCATGACTCATAAGCCAGTAGCACAGTACCTGAGGTGATTTCCGGGTTGACACGATTCAGCGCCAATCATTCAGTCTACGTGATTGACCGTGTCCAGCTAGCTGTATCCCATGCTTCTGTGTCTGGATTGCCCAGGGCCGAGCCTTGAGAGCTTTGAGTGCTTTCACTCCATGTGTGCTGCTCTGCCAGTGGCCATGGTATATCTTCACCGCATCCAAACACCAGAGGTTTAATTGCTTGTCCAGAACTGCCCAGTCATTGATGGGAGCGAAGGATCGGCGGTGGATGGGGCAAGAACCGTGAGGCAAGAGTGCCTTCATGTGTGCTGCTGTGCCGTAGCTATTATTAGGCATTTCAACTCAACATTTGCCCATTCATTTCTCGCCTAGAACAGCCCAGTCTTTGATGGGGGCGAAGGATCGGCGGTGGATGGGGCAAGGGCCATGAGGCAAGAGGCCTTTCACCTCAAGCGCGCTGCTGTGCTCTGCCATAAACTAGTCCTGCTTGTCTAAAACAGCCGAGTCTTTGATGGGGGCGAAGGATCGTCGATGGATAGGACAAGGGCCGTGGGCCAAGAGTGCTTTCATGTGTGCTGCTGTGCCATTGACCATATCTCTTACACTGAATGCATCCCAAACCACCTGTGTTTATTTATCATCTAGAACCGTCCAATCCTTGATTGGGGCGAAGGATCGGCGGTGGATGGGGCAAGGGCCATGGGCCAGGAGTGCTTTCATGTGTGCTGCTGTGCCGTACCCCTTGTGCTGCTTGAAACCATATGCTGGGTACAGCCTGAAGGGAACAGGTGGGAGGGAAGAGGAGAAAAGGAATGGTGTGAAATCATCAATGTTGGAATCAACTCATAAGACAGTTCTTTCAAGTGTGCTGCTGTGCCGTACCCCTTGCACTGCTTGAAGCCATACGGTGGATAGCAGCTGAAGGAAGTATTGGGCGGCATAGAGGACGAAGAACAAATATGGAAGAACTCGGCTCAAAAGTCACCTCTGTCCTTAGTTTGTTGACTCTTGAGGCACCTCATTCGCGCCTATTCCACCCACTCCAGCCTTTCGAATTTCACTAATCATACCTGTCAAATGAGAGCATGTTTCGATCCCTTGTCACTTCGGCGAAAATGGAATGTGATGGCATGGGAGGGGATGGCATGGCATTGCATGGCATGGGGTGGGATGGGATCGCGTGAGCATGGAACACCAGGCATACCCTAAACCCTTGTCACTTTGGCTAGGATGGAATGTGATGGCATGGGATGACATGGCACGGCATGCTATGCCATGGCATGAGATGGGATCAGCAGAGTCTACAGCAGCAGCCACACCTGTCGAATTTGAGCATGAGTCGGTCCCTTGTCACTTTGGCGAGGATAGAAGCAGCTGCAATGGCATAGCAGGTGGCATCACCCTGTAAGCACATCATATCGCATGGCAAGGACGGAGCAAAACGTAGCGAGACAGACTTACAATGCCTGTAGCATTTCAGACAAATCAAACGCATGCGAGCACATCAGACATCATTCCATACCATGCCATGACATGCCATACCATGCCATGCCATACCATGCCATGCCATACAATGCCATGCCATACCATGCCATACCATGTCATGCCATACCACGCCATGCCATGTACGGTACTGTACCATGCCGTACCACGTCACACCACACCATACCACTATCTACCTTAACAACCGCCTCAGCAGCACAGGGCAGCCCATGGGGCACCCTGTTGCCATCCACGAGCACATAGTCGGGGGATGGGCTCTTAGGGTCTTCTGCAATCTTTGCTATGACACCAGCACCGTACCATACCGTACCGTACAATACGACACCACACCACGCTGTACCACTCCATACCTTGACAACGGCATCAGCTGCACAGGGCAGGCCATTAGGAACCCTGTTGCCATCCACGAGCACATAGTCGGGGGAGGGACTGCTGGGGTCCTCAACCACTTTGGATATGCTGTTGGCCATTGCTAGCATTGTTGCTACCGCACCGCACTGTACCATACCGCACCGCTCCATACCTTGACAACAGCCTCAGCAGCACAGGGCAGCCCCTTAGGAACCCTGTTACCGTCCACTAGCACATAGTCAGGGGATGGACTTTGGGGGTCCTCAACCACTTTGGCTATGCTGTTGCCCATCGCCAGCATCGTTGCCTCAAGGATGTTGACCTTATCGATCTCTGATGGCCCCACTATGTCCACCTGTGGAACAGCACAAGGCAGCACAGGGCAAAACGACACAGAGCACTTAGTCAGAGAAAAGGACCGATAAGAAATTTAAACGCTGAAAAGCAAAAAACAGGAATACAGAGAAATAGCAGACGATCAATGAAGATACACAAAAGAAAGAAGTAGAAAAAGAAAACATGAAGAGCAGAACAACATAAGACCGTGCCTAATCATGGATTTTTGAGGCGCCTCAGTAATCATGGAATAAGAATGCTATTTCACATTCCGTACAGATTTTTGAGGCGCCTCAAAAATCCTACAGCACCCAAAAAGTGCAGAATTATCATACAGCGTAAAAAATGTCGGGATTCCCAATGATGGCGTCGAATATCTCCTCCCTTTGCTTCTCCGTGAGCTTCTTGCTGTCCGCTAGACCTGCGACAGTGAGAGCAGCAGAGCAGTGAGGTGAGGCAGGAAGGGAAGCTTGGTTCGTAACAGTGAGTGAGGCAATTGCCAATGATGGCAGCGAATATCTCCTCTCTTTGCTTCTCTGTGAGCTTCTTGCTGTCCACTAGACCTGCGACAGCATGGCAGTAGAGAGGGAAATGGCAGCAAGGTAGAGAGAACGTGAGACAGTGAGGCAGTGAGAACGATGCATCTAGTTCTACACATGGCGATAGCAACGTGATAATAAATCAATGGTTGCTACTTGAGACGCCTCAAAAACAATTTATTATCTAGTCCTAGACATGGCGTTAGCAGCAGCGAGCAGGCACAGGGATGTATGTATGCATGCCGTGCGCATGTCACACTGCACAACATGCCATAGATGTAGCATACTCACCACACACTCAGCTCAGTGCACCCACCTGGGATTTCCAGCCCAGCAGGCACGGCGCATGCAGCCACCACCACAGGCCCTCGCATGTGCACACATAGCACACAGATAGCACACAGATAGCACACAGATAGCACACACAGCATGCACAAACATACACACAAAACGCACCCACCTGGGATTTCCAGCCCAGCAGGCACGGCGCAAGCAGCAGCCACCACAGGCCTTGCCAGCAGCCTCACCACCAGCGGGATGCATGCTGTGTGCATGCACGTGTCAGTTAAAACATACACCCCACGCATAGTACGCACAAAGCACACACTCACCTGCGATCTCCAACCCAGCAGGCACGGCGCATGCAGCAGCCACCACAGGCCCTTGCAGGTGCGCGGCGATAGCACACAGATGGAACACACAACAGGCACAATATTAACAGCATGCCAAACGACATACACACAAAACACACCCACCTGCGATCTCCAACCCAGCAGGCACGGCACAAGCGGCCCCACCACAACAGGATGCCGGTGACAGTCAGAACATACACACCACAGCACACCACACCACACTGCACCGCACAGCACCCACCCACCTGGGATCTCCAACCCAGCAGGCACGGCGCAAGCAGCAGCCACCACAGGCCCTGCCAGCGGCCCTCGCCCCGCCTCGTCCACCCCATACACATGTTTGAACCCCCGGGACCACAGGGATTGCTGGGAGAGAGAGAGGGGGGTGGGGTGGGAAAAGGGAGAGGGAAAGAGGGGTTAGAGCTTGCCCTGCCAGCAGCCCTCGCCCCGCCTCGTCCACCCCGTACACGTGCTTAAATCCCTGCGCCCACAGAGATTGTTGGAGAGTGGAGGGGATGGGGCGGGAAAATGAGGTAAGGGAGAGGGGTTGACAGTGGGCCTGGATAAGGGTTCTCGCCCTGCCTCATCCACACCGTACACGTGCTTGCATCCGCGCGCCCACAGGCATTGCCGGGCGGATGAGTTGGGGGCAAGGGAAAACTAGCATTTGGCAGTCCGTCTTTCGAGAAGTCTCGAAACGGAAAACCACTCCAACCCCTTTTCACCCCTCCCCTTTCCATTCCACACCCTGATCGCCTCACGGTCCGGTCCTTTCCCTCACACCTCCCTGCCCTCTCCCCAACTCGTCCCCTCTCTCTCCCTTTCCTCCTCACCTCAAGCGCCCTATCCGGTCCTTGCGCCTTCCCTGCCCCCCCTGCTCTCTTCCGCTCCAATTCGCCAGCAGCACCAGCAGCAGCGGCAGCAGCCCCTGCCCCCCAACCTTTCCCCCTCCTATTTCCTCCTTACCTCAAGCGCTCTGTTCGGTACCTGCGTCTTCCCTGCCCCCCCTTGCTCGCTTCCGGTTCAATCCGCCAGCAACAGTAGCAGCAGCAGCCGCCTTCCCCCAACCCGTCCTCCCTCTTCCCCTGCCCTCCTTACCTCAAGCGCTCTGTCCGGTACCTGCGCCTTCCCTGCCCCCCCTGCTCTCTTCCGCTTCAACTCGCCAGCACCAGCACCAGCAGCAGCTGCAGCTGCTGCAGCAGCAGCGCCCCTGGCTGTCACTGCTGCTGCCGAAGAGCGTTTGGTTGGAGAGGATGGTTTCTTGCTCGACTGCTTACGCGCCTGAAAAGCAGCCGCACCGGCTTCTGCTGATGCTGCAGAGGGTTTGACGGAGGAGGAGAGCTCGTTGGTCGATTGCAAGGCAGCCAATCGCGAGGACCTTCGAGGCGCCATGGAGGAATATGATCGGTACGATGAACTTTGTCTGGTTAGGATGGACGAGTAAATTCCGACAGACGACCCGTAAGTCACGCAGAATGATACCCCTCGGCTCCAAAGAACGGATTGCCGAAGCGGGAGTAAGGCCTTGCACCACGAGGTCATTATAATCGGGTATGTTAGGTGTATTAACGACGCATATAATGCTATTTCCTTCTACATTACTGTAAACAGTAAGTAACGTTCCGGAGCGTAAGAAGCGCAGGAGAAAGCAAGGTGCAACGGTAGCTCTTCATTCGACTCCTCGCGCGCAGCGACCGATAGTCCAGTTTAACTTCTAGTAAAGATACAACCCATGCAAACCAAGGGATGATGCGCCAGAAGAAACGCTGCTGCCACACGACGCTAATCACTGCGCTCGCTGCGCATTCAAAACCTTGGTTGCGAGCGTGACGACACGAACAGTAACGGCTGTCTCTGAATTCAAATATTCAAATTCTGGAATGCATCCAGCACGAAACACTTCAGAAACTTCAAGGCTAAACCTGTGAGATAACCCAGCCTTGGGCTGCGTTCTGCAGGCGCATCAGCTCTGATGCGTCTGACGCTCGGCCTGATCTGCACATTTAGAAATTGAGGTTCGGAAATCGGAAATTGAGAAATTGAGGCTCGGACATTTGGAATTGAGGTTTGGAAAATCTGACGAGATTCAGGAAATTGGACATTCAAATTCATGACGAATTTCACACTCTGAATGTTACAGGTTTCTTGGAAGTTTATTGAATGTCAGATGTCGCCGAAATTCGGATGAACCAAACTGATTGGCCAATGAGGTTGCAGCGCATCAGCTGATGCGCGCATGATGCGATTTTTCGAAGTCGCATGATGCGCGCATGAGTGATGCGCCCGATTGCTAAGAGAGGAAGCTTCTTGGAGCGCGATCACATTACAAATTTCGAAAGCCAAAAAGGCCATTCTGCAGGCATTCGGGTGTGTTCTGCTTCGGCAGCCATGCGCTTATCGCGAACCTTGATAACCTGTCGGCAGGTTATCATGGAAGGATCCTGAAACCATGGTAAAACACATCAATGTACATTGATGCGGGCTGATGCGCCAGACGGAGGAGATAATTCGCATAGGTTCGCAATCGGTTACCGAATGTAGCCGAGATTCAGCGGAAGATACTTATGGAAACGCGCCCGCAAAAGAGTTTTGCTCATGGCGTGACCCGCTAAGAGAGGCTAGCAAGAAGAGTACCGTTCATTTCCATGTTAACTGCTCAAAAGCGTTCACATATGGAGTAGAACGCAAGCATTAAAATACACCATAAAAGGTTCCTCTTATTTTGTCCCAGCTCCACAACACACATAATCACACAAAGGAGAAACAAAACTGGCAATGGTTTAAAACAATTATCTAACAAGCGATTATATGGTCTTTCAAGCACATGCGGTGCACCTCAAAACAAGCACACATAAGAACTGTGAAAAGAGTACAGAGGGGTGGTTGCTAGAGCCACGGGCTGACGCGAGCCTGGGCTGCTGCTGCTGCTGAACATCTGAGGCGGTTTCGAATAGGTTGAGCAGTTTTGAAGGCACTTTTCAAAGGGTTCTAGAGGAGTGGTTGTTTGATCGTACCTCTTGTATCGTTTCCCAGAGCCACCGGGGGACGGGCTATTACAAGCCGGAGCAGCTGCTGCTGCACTTTGAGGCGGTTCAGAGTAAGTTGAGCACTTTTTGGAGCACTTTTAGAGGGGTTCAAAGGGGTGGTTGTTTGAACGCACCTCTTATATTTCTTCCCAGACCCACATGGGCATGGGTTGTTGCGAGCTGGGGCTGCTGCTGCCGAGCCGGCACCGCCAGCCGAACCAGCACTAGCACCCGAACGTGCTCCCGTTTTGGGTGGGGACCAAGGCCCGCCCATCATTTGCTCGATCTGCAGAGGAGGTAAAAGGGGGGACAAAAGGTGGGAGCTATGTTGCACATGCAGCGGCAGATGCGAAAACAGCAGCAGTATTGGAGTGACTTTTGAGAATTCTCTAAAGACTTTTGAGAATTCTCTTTTGAGAATTGACAAAAGGTGGGAGCTATGTTGCACGTGCAGCGGCAGATGCGAAAACAGCAGCAGCAGAACCAGAGGGTGTAGCACTAGCTCCTGAACCTGCGCCTGTGGAGGAGGTAAACGGGAGGAGAGAAGGTGGGTATGAACCTGGGTGCGGATTATTCAAGTTTCTTGCTGAAGCGATTTCGCATATTGCAGCTCATTTTCACAACCCAGTCACTCGTACGTGCTTAGCTAAAAGCACCCACTCTTTGTTCTCACCTCTGCAACGAATCGAGAAAGCGGTTTCCCTTGGAATTGTAGCGCCTGCATTCTGTTAGCCGCATCCTTGAACCACTCGTACTTATCTAAGAGCATGTCAATCTCAAAATTATCACAGCACTTAGCTAAAAGCTTACATTCCTTGTTCCCACCTCTGCAAAGGATCGCGGAAGAATTTTCCCCTGGTCTTGTAGCGCCTGCATTCTGTTTGTCGCCTCCGCGAAGCACTCGGTGCTCACAAGGTGACTTTTGAGTCGACTCAGAAGTCACATTGTTAAATGTCTCTGCGAACCACTCGTACTTACACACGAGCATGTCAATCTCAGGTTATTGCAATTCTTAGCTAGAAGCTCCCATTATCTGTTATGGCATTGTAGCGCCCGCACTCTTTTAGCAGCCTCTGCGACCATTCGTAATTAGCTAAGAGCGTCCTTGCATCCTGACAGCATTTAATAGATCTTCCTTACTTAGCTAAGCAACTAAATACTGACAGGGTCCTTGCATCCTGATAGATCTTCCTTACTTAGCTAGAACCCTGTTAGTAATTAGTTGAAATCATTAATCCTTCTCACCTCGGCAAAGGACCGAGGAAGCGGTTTCCCCTGGTCCTGCAGCGCCTGAATTCACCTAGCCGCCTCTTTGAACCACTAGTACTTAGCTAAGAGCATGTCAATCTCAGTGCTATCTCAGTGCTAAAAGCAGCCATTCTTTGTTCGCACCTCTGCGAACGATCGTGGAAGCGGTTTCCCTTGGTCTTGTAGCGCTTGCATTCTGTTAGCCGCCTCTGCAAACCACTCGTATCAATCTCAGTTGTACTATCTTACTAGTGGCAGGAATTCAGTATCTATCTTACCGTTTAACTGAATGCAAACGCTTAACTGAAGAAATCATATTTCTCACCTCTGCAAAGGACCGAGGGAGCGGTTTGCCTTGGTCTTGCAGCGCCTGCATTCTGTTAGCCGCCTCGGCAAACCACTCGTACTTAGCTAAGAGCATATCAATCTCCCCCATGGTGCTGCCGGTCTCGCTGGCAACGCGCTGCCGCACACTGAAGGGGATGGATAGCTGGGTTGGGACGGGGGGAAGATCGATGGGATACTAGGGATGGGAGAGGATGAGGGACCGGGGATGGGAGAGGAATCATAGAAGCATGAGTTACCAGAAGGCATGGTTGGTGAGGAAAACGGGACAAGAGACGACTTTTGAGGCGCCTCAAAAGGTTACCATACGGCATGGGTGATGAGGGCACGGGTGATGAGGGCACGGGTGATGAGGGCACGGGTGATGAGAGGAAAACTGCCCCATTCCTTCCTTACCAGCTCGTCTGTCGAATTCGTTTCAGCAGCGTAAGCAGTAAGAGCCACCACTCACCCACTCGTGTGTAGCCTTGGCGTCAGCAGCATAAGCACCTAACACCAGAGTGTTTATCTCCTGCTTACTCTCTCCTGGTTACCGCTGTAAATGGTCGCACTCTCCTGTTATACTACCTCGGTTACCGCGTTCCTTTGTTACGAAACAAGGTCATTACTCACCCACTCGTTTGGAGAATTCTCTAAAGTCACTCTCACTGTTACACTATCCCAGCTACCACATTCCTTCCATACGAAACAACGCCACTACTCACCCGCTCATTGGACAGTTTGGCTTCAGCAGCATAGCCAGCAAGCGCCAGAGTGATGACTTCCTGCTTCCTCAGAGAATTTGTCACCACGCTCTTCCCGCCCTTAGGGAGAATCCTTACTGAGTGTCATAGCCTCATTACCACCATGTATGGTTACCCTCTGTCTTTCAATACTCACCCGTTCATCAGCCAGTTTGGCTTCAGCAGCATAGGCAGCAAGCGCCAGAGTGATGACTTCTTGCTTCCTCAGAGAGTTTGTCACCACACTCTGCCCGCCCTTGGGCAGACTCTTCCCAAAAGTTGTCAGCTGCCCGAACTGCCGCGCCCGCTTTAGCTGGTTGGCGAATTCTGGGAGGGAGGGATGGGAACCAATTGCATAGCTCTTAGGGGAAAAAAAAAAAGTGATTTCTGAGAGTTCTGGAAACCCACTCTGTCTGCCTTCCCATCCCTCCATTCCCATTACCCCATTCCCATTACCCCATTCCCCATTCCCATTACCCCATTCCCAAGACCCCATTCCCATTACCCCATTCCCAAGACCCCATTCCCATTACCCCATTCCCAAGACCCCATTCCCATTACCCCATTCCCAAGACCCCATTCCCATTACCCCATTCCCAAGACCCCATTCCCATTACCCCATTCCCAAGACCCCATTCCCATTACCCCATTCTTTAAGTTCAGTGCTGCACACCCCTGCTCTTCAATCCCAATTCCCCCATTTCCCCAACCTCGAACCCCCAAACCACCATAACGACACCATGATGGTTGTTTGGCAAGCACATTTCCCCACCTCCGATTCCCCCGTTCCCACGTGTGCAATTTGCAAGCTTACTCGCCTTTTCCATTCCCCCATGCCCAAAATCTTCCATCCTCGCCCCACCCCCCCCACCCCCTCCCCCCCTCCCCTCCCCCGCTCCCAACTTCCCCCCGCCCACCAGTAAGACCCTCCGCGTGCGTCAAGCGCTTCGGTTCCGCCGCCTTCCCCGAGCCGCCCTTCCCCAGCCGCAGAAAGGTCTGGAACCGCGATAACCATCCGCCGCCGCTCTCCCCCTTGCTCTCCGCCTCCGCC